TCCACACGTTTTATCGGGGTACCCCGGCTCCTTCTGATTTAAAGGTCTTAGGGTTGACCGAATTGATTTTAGTTGCCTGTGTGCTTGTGAGGGGTAACCATTAGGATCGGTGGAGTGCGGATAAGCGCAGATATACTGTGGACCTTCGAGCAGGCTTTTTCTGCCTTGTCTATTCCTCGATTCTGAGTCGTCGTCGTCACGCGACCACACCACGAGTCGGCGCGCAGAAAAGTTTGCTCATTCCAGGCTTATTCGAGGGAAAATAACTGAATTAAATAACAGGATACCGTTATCGCGCTCGACTGTCGGAACGTGCAACACGTTACTCCGTTCCTGTATCTAAAAAGAAACGAAATTCGTCACATCAGAAGGAACGGTACAATGTATAACTTGTGGCGTTGTGACGTTTGACGTACACGTCAGCCACAGAACAAACAGCGAAGTCCAGAATAAATATGGTCGATAGATACTTTTGTCCGAACGTAATATTGGCTGACCCAATCGAGAGCGCAGCAAGTGATGTTGATAATGAAATAAACGGTAATCTTACGTTCATAATCTTACTTCAATGCAACAAACATGTTCACGAGTTGGAAATTGCGTGTGTGTGTGTGTGTGCGTGTGCGTGCGTGCGTGTGTGTGTGTGTGTGTGTGTGTGTGTGCGTGTGTGTGTGTGCGTGTGTGTGTGTTTGTGCGTGTGTGTGTATTTGTGTGTGTGTGTGGAAAGGAGGGGCAGTACAGACACATTTTGCGCATTTGCTAGAGGGACGAACGGGTAAGCAAAGAAAAGAAAATTTAATCGCTCGTTACCATGTCTCCTTGCTCGTACTGGCTTTACCGACAATGTTTCTACTTGAGCGTATTCAACTTTATATGTCCGTTCAGGTCGTGTTTTCGTTGCTAATAAGACAGTTTTGCGCGCGCTCCCGACTCTGGAGTAAGAGTACACAGCGAGCTGGACAAATAAAATTAGCTGGGCAAATGCGCTCTTACGTTTTCCCGCTCGCACGGGCTGCCAGATAACTGGGCCGGCAGCTAGGACCCCGCGGGCCGCCCACGTTCTTCTTGTGTTGTTTCAGGAACGAGGAGCATAAGCGCGCACACAAACTCCCAAAGTAATCCGCGCAGCTAGAGGACGCGAGTACGATCGACCCTTCGCGGGGGCCAAGGTCTGCCTCTGGGTGACGTATCTATCGTTTTGCGCCTGACGGGCAGCAACTCATCTGAGCACACTGGGCGACAGACACTCGGACCGCTGCGGGGAAGAACCGCGGCCGCTGCATCGACTCTCCAGCTCGGAGTACCTCTTGTTTTGTGTCGGGGCTGTCAATTCGGATTTCGACATTTCCATTTTGCCTTTGTCCGAGGCGCCCCCAACGCCCGGCCGACAAGACTGCTGAGGAGGGCTTTGAGGAAGGGAAAGCAAAAACGGACAAGAGCAACCTTGGACGTGTTTTTCTTGCCGCCGCCCCCGGGTCCGGCGGCGCTTCCCCGGAGCGGTGTCTAGAGTACTTTCTCCGGCGGGCAGCGGGCTTGAAAGAAACTCAATCAGGCACTTTTCTTGCAGCGGGGGACTGGTCTGTTTTCCGGGTCGGTTCGTACGGAAACCGGGAGATCGGCGTCTCTCCGCGTGGGACGCCGCTCTCGCCCCGGGCCGCCAGACAGACGCGCGGGCAGATTCTGTTCGATCGGGTAGAAGTGGCCCGAAGAATGTGCACAGCGTGCTCCCCGGGACGAGTTACTGGCACGGAGGAGCGGGATTAGGGCAAGGGAACATCGTTATGCAAATTCAATTGCGTCAGGCGCTTACACGTGTGCGGTACTGCGCGAGTGCGCGCGCTCGCTCTTCGCGAAGGCGCCATTTTTGTATGCCCGAGCGCGCGACGGCGGCCGACTCGTACGTGTGTCTCGGGCAAGATCGCGGGATGGGCACGCGTCGGTCTGAGGAGCGCACGGGGGCAAATTCGGTTACCTGCGCGGCGCGTAATCGCTGCCGTCACGAGAAAAACAGACGCCTCGTCGCCTCGGTCGACTAATTGCATCTGCGGGCGGGTAAATTGAATGCGGGGTCTGTTTACGTGAGCGAGAAACTCAAAGACCGCACCTGGAGCTCTTCGAAGGACGTGGACGTGTCGGCAGCCGAAATTCGGAGGAGTGCACCTCCGCGCTGATGCAATAAATTCTCGCCGGTGGAAGCGGACGGAATCAAATTTAAACGTAGGCGAACTTACGTTTCAAAACAGAGTATTCGATATGAGTGTCGCGTATCCTTGCTATCGGAATATTATATGCAATTATATTCCGAAATTTGATGTGGGCTATGGTGCGCAAAAGGAAATGACTCGCAAATCTTTCTATGTACGCTTTGTTTGCGCGAATCTAACACCCACGAGTTTAAAAGTCACCACCTACAGGTGGTGACTTTTAAAGTCCGGCGCATATCCACCATGGTGGATATGCGCCAGAACCTTTGAACGAGAATGCTTCTTGTTCTTTCACTTTTCCAAACCTGCACGAGGGCGCGTGTGAAACTAAGCTTCTACACGTTAATCAATTGAAAACATCAGTGCGCAAAGGTCGTGTGTATTCACACGCGTGAGGCAAATCGAGGATCTTCGAATTTCTAAATCAAACCTGTTCTAAAGCAAACAAATCGCACTTTGCACGTGTGTTCGGCAATGCTTCATTTTGATTATTTACTTCGAATATTTTATACTCTTAAGATGAGCGCGTGGGCGTGTGTTCGCAGTATCCTCCTTGGTGCTTGGGGAATTTAGAAAAAGGTATATTATATTCGTTGTGCTCCCAACTCGAACCCAACAGATCGTGGTTCCGTCGATGGGCCCCCTTCCTTGGGCAGGACGGAAGAGCGTCAAGACAAAGGAGGGAGACGTCTGGGAGAAGCAATGCCTTCCTCAATTGCCAGCGGGCCCCGCCAAGCACTGCCGGCATGTCAGCCAGTGCGCGTTGACACAGGGGGCCGTGCAACGCGTGGAATTCTGCCAATATCCACCGACGAGAGAGCTCTAAAATTTCCGGGCCTGCCTTAAAAGGGCCAAATATACAACCCGAGCCGCACATACTACCCGTTGTTGTGCGCTCCATTTTTTTTCCCTCTTCCTTTATATCTCTTTGCTTTATTTTTGTTTGTTTCATTGTGGCCCAGTTGTCTCTTCCCATATACGCTTTATTAAACGGGCTTCGAGATTCCCAGATCATGTTCCGCCTTTCAGAGTGCCTCGTCGTTTCTGTTTTTGTGTCTACTTTTTGTGTGTGTGTGTGCAGTTTGCTTCCTTTAGATCACTCGCGTTTATCTAAAGAAACGTTGCGCCGCGTACAAAATAAAGCCAAAGAAATAAGCAGAACTGGTATCCTCGCATGTATTTATATTTTCTTTCTCTCTCTCTCTTATCATGACGTGGGCTGAAAAACACGAAGGCTATACATTACCCTGGTTTCGACTAAACTTTCGGACAGAGTCCTTCCGCACTCCCCCCCCCCCCCCTTTTTTTCTTCCTATTAACAAAATATGTTTTTTTTATTGCGGTAGCAGTTAGTGAAACACTTCGCGGGTTTCCCGCTGTCTACCGCGCTCCATATCGACGCGGGCCATTCTCGGCACTCCGCCAAAAGATTCCACATTGACGGTACGCCACTCGACACGACTCTGATGTCACACCGCGCATCACGTCACCTGTTCAGTTGACACCGTGACGTAACACTCTCATGTCAAGTCACGTTGCACAGTGACGCCACGCGACCTAATGACGTCAGGGGACACCGTGAGTCACGTGATATCATGACGTCACGTGACACCCTGACGGCACGTAGAAAAAATACATAACACTGCTGATAATGGAAACAATAAAAACAAAACGTTTTCGCTAATTATGCCACAAAGGTTATCGGGCGATAAAAGCAATAAAGCTGGCTGGGTGTTAAGCCGGCGAAACCACGGGCGTGAAATTAGGTAGAGCTACACGCTTGAAACTTGAGTGCGCGATTTTGGAAGTGTTCTTCACTGATCACAAGGTGGTGTTAATTTCTGTCCAATAACATTGCATAATAAGTTCAGGCAGCGACACCAACGAGAGGAAAGGGTTAATGCATACACATGGAGTTTCGTCGTTCCCTGGATTTCACACTTGGGCGCGCGATTTTCGAAGTGTTCTTTAATTACCACAAGGAAGTCCTTGTTTGTGTCCAAAAAAAAAATGTTTAACAGCCTCACGAAATGCTCTCTACTTAATACACCCTCATTGACTCCAAAACGCTATGAAATTTTCGTCCGGTGTATTATTGGGTTTAATACGAAACGGCCTCTGCGGACTCTATGGTGCGAGCTCGCACCATTACCGTTCATTCAGTCCACTTGGTCCGAAATGACACCTTCGCGGCTCCGACGTCACACATCAGGTGTCGCGGGGTTTCCGCCTTATGGGTAGCGCAAGTGTTTACCATTTTTTTTTTAAAATCATGACTAGGTTTTACAGTGGTCGTATTTGAAATAATACACTTGGTCGGTCAGCTGTAAGATAAATGAGGAAGCGAATTATTTAAATGTGATTCTTAATTTATCTAATAGTTTTATTTAGATTGGCCGCTTGAGAGTCGCGCGCGCACTTTCGCTTGAGCTTCCGCGCAGTTTTCGCGACCTTTCGCGTCGACTTTACTCGAATGAGTACAGATGAACGCCAAGACGAGTCACTAGACTTTTTTCAATACTGCGCGCTATCTAGTAGCCGCTTCCTCAGTTTTCCGAATCCGCCATTGCTTGGGCCTGAGCATGTATTGATTGAACTCGAGGGCTACGTCAGCGCTCGGCGAGGGTTCGGATCCGCTTCGTGCCCAAGAAATAACGACCGTCACTGTTGCTTGACGGGGTTTTGAAAATAATTTATTGCACTCCGATGTGTGACGACGAATACCGCTCGAAACGAGCGCAAAGAAGAGAGAAACGGAAACCCATAAACTTACGCGGTTCATTGTTGCTTGGTCAGGTGCGAGGTGCGGCCGGGCCCCGAGTTCCTGCTCCGCAAGTACCACTTCTACGAGGACGGCAGCTTCCATCTCCAGCAGTTCTTCTACCTGGACAACTCGTGCACCGTGCCGGCGTACGCCCTGGACGCCTGGGGAAAGCTGCAGCTGTCCCGGCCCTCGTGGGTGGTGCCCGGTGGCACTGAGGCCGAGGCCGAGCTCAGTCGGGTCCACGTCGTGCCGTACACCGCCGACATGGCCGACCGGATCGCCCAGCGAGTCAACAGGTTGGCGGGGCTTTGTACGGCCCCGGTCCTCGCTTCTTCCGTCGTGGTTCGGGCGGGGCTCGGTGTTAGTTGGCGTCGACCCGCGGGTCAAATGAGCTCCCGTCTAACTTCAGCTGAGCGTTGCAGCATTCCCCAGTTTTAGAGCAACGACGTAAATGCATCATCTTCCGACGGTACTGCGTACACACGGCTTGTACTGACGTCACGTTGAGGGGCCTTTGTGGTGGGCTTGCTGCTGGGAGCGTACCTCCTGCAGTATAGGCATTTTTTGCGCCACCGAATTTCTTTTTCTCGACAAGAGCAAGTATAAAAACATCCAGAATGACCCCCGGCGATGACGCCGCGTATACAGTCGCTTTATGGAATGTTCAAAGCATCTAGGACACCGTGGTCTAGGAGCACCGGGCATTAGTTGAGGCTTCGCTCATGTTGGCCTAATCTTAAACATGGTCGCTGATGAATAGTGGTTCCCCCTTTCTGCGACCTTTGAAAGAATTATGCTTTTGCATGTTGTGGCGTACAGACTCCTAGATTGCGAGGCCGTAGTTCTGTATTTTCAGCTTCAACGAAGGGAGGCAAACGCGGCAGGTTGGACAACAGCGCAACGTCAGCCTTCGGCTGGGAGTCTTGTTCTCGCTGGCTAAACACGAGTCTTAGCGGAACAATGACGCAGCAGCTCGTGTTCAATCGTACCCACGTTGGCCTCCTCTAGGTGATGCCGAGACTGGACGCCATTTCTCTTCGGGAATCCGGTGGCGGCGTGTTTCTTGAAAAAGTTTTTTTCGTCGTGCAACAGATTATATTATTATGGCATTCAGCGCTGACAGCACCAAGCCACAGGTGAAATACGAAGAAGTTGTGCGATACCTAATAGCAGATAATAGCGACGAAGCACAAAGCTAAATTCGCTAACTGGAAGACTTTTCAGATGCTCCGCAGCGCGCGCTCACACACGCGCACACACACACGCACACGCACACACACGAAATTGTGTCACAAAATGGTTTAAGCGCGAGACACATACGCGAAAATCCATCCGATCCGACGTCCGATCCGGCAGTACGACTGCCTCATTAGAAAAATTTGGTCGCTTCAGACGTCGGATCGGCGATCCGGCGTGCGTCCAACGTGCCAGACAGTTTCGCACTGCCGACGGACTGTCGGAACCGTCCAGCCAATGACAGCACAGCTACCGCGAGCGTCATGATGACGTACTGGGTCTGACGTACTCGCTCGTGCGACCTAAACCGTCAATCTGGGATCAGATATCTATGAACGCGGACCTCCGCTGGAGTGCTTGGATCTCCTGGGCCGGTTTGCTCATCTTGCGGCTGCGGACGCGGCCGCGGCCAGGGGGGGATTTTTACGTCACGTGACCAGCTCCATGGGGACAAGGAAGTACCTAGCGTCCCTGCCTAATGGCGGAGAGATCCGCATCGCTTCAAGCACAAAAGCCTAATTTCGCTCGCAGAAACTGATTGCAGGGACTTTCAACTGGAGTCTAATTGACCGCCCCTTTATACTGTAGGAGCGGCAGGTAAAGTTACGGCCAGGGAGGGCAAATAGGAGCCAAAATAAAGAAAAAACCACACGAGATAAAAGCGGTAGCAGTATTTTTATATACCTCCGCCGGGGCCGCGCTTCGCGTTTTCTGCTGTGGTTGAGAGGTTAAAGCGCCGGTACTTGTCGTCGCGGCGTGAAAGTTCCAAGTTCAAATCGCGCTAGGGACATCTTTTTTTTTTTTTTGTATTTTGCGCGTGTCTTACTTTTTAACTGTGATACTTTTTTCGAAATCATCCACTTGCACTACTGCGCCTTACACGCTTTTACTGTTAGTCCCACCTGTTCAATCGAAACACCGGGAAGAAGAAAAAAAAGATCAACGCAAGTTAACGCGCTAATACAATTATTTCATAATGTTCATTAAAAGGAAACCAAGCTAACAGCATCAGTATGGCTTTCACACAAGCGGAGCCGAAACAAGCATCCTTTCCCCAGCATTTACAATTTTATCTGTTTTTAAATAACGCTCTTGCTACGATTCGTTTCAATGACAAGAGACGCCTATTTAGGACTAATAAAAACTGCAGTTGTAGCAATTAAAAAAAATCCGAAAAACAAGCAAAAAAAAAGACTAGCAGCTGTGGATACATTGATTGAGCGAAATCCTACAGGCAAGGCAGCAGGTCAAACGTCTGAGAAAGTAGTAAAACCGAAATAAAAGAGATCATACTTTTACTTGCATGGACCTCGCGGTGACTCGCGTTTGAATCTATATGCAAACTGTTATTTGTAAGATGTATAAGTAGTGTGACCCCGGCGGCTGAGGGGTTCAACTTCATGGAGCAAATATGCAGCGAGCAATCAGACGATCCCATGCACATTAGGGCATCATGTGTAATAATAACGGTTTATAAGGTTATTCACCTCGCCTGAGTCTTCGGTGTTATTTCTTAAGTGTGTACTTACTGCAGGTTGGCATTATTCGCATCATGGTATTCACAGCGTTTCTATACGTGTTCTATCGTCGTTGAACCAATCATGAACAGAGAAGGCCTAGTGATTTGCGCTTATGACGCTTTCTGATTGGTCCTATCACTTCGGTGCATCGGCTGCGTCTAGACTTAAGTTCGAACGAAGTATAGTAACAACATAAAATGGCTTCAGTAAGCAAAACAGGTTTACAAAGGTAGTCGTGAGTCAAAAGGCTAGTCTTTATCGGTCTATATATCTGGTGGTATTTATGTTAAGGATCAGATTGAGAGTGAAATTGACTTCTCACAATTATTTGGCTATTAAAATGACAAAAGCCCTCAAGAAAATTGTGTCACTTTTGTTAGAAAGAAAACACGAAATCATTTCAGGGTGTATATAATGTTGACATGTGTATTTCCGTGCAAAATTTAGATATTGTATACAATTTGGTCAACCAGCCATTTTGTGGTACTATTGCTGTTATTCACTTCAAAAAATAGGAGCCAGCGGGCATCGCGCACGAGGCTGTCGCGACCGTCTAAAACGATAACAAACAGTTGTTGTTAGTTGCCATGGAGCAGCTCGTGTTTCTCCTCATCTATAGGAGGCAGTTTACAATTATGCGCAATATATATATTTGTGCTTCAGCATATTATAGTATGCGGCAGGCCGGTAGGGCGTAACATTTTCGTACGTCACATTTCCAAGAATTAGTCTTTTTCACAATTCGTGCTAAATTAACAACCAGGTGTGTGTGTGTGAGGGGGGGGGGGGGGGGGTGGCACAGGCGTAGAAGGCTTTTTTTTTAAGGACCAAAGTGTTACGAGCAAGCACATTAAAAAGAAAACGAATTTCGCACAGAAATTTAATTTTGCTTTCGGATCGCATCTCCTAGCAACGGTAAGCATATGCCGTTGTGAACGTAAAACTTCGTTGATTTCGGTTGCCCTGAAGCCTTCCAAACGTGGAAGGCTTCAGGGCCGTCGACTTGGTTGGCTGGAATAGTATAGATAGGCGGAGTCATGCCAGAGCGATAACCAGCTCGCTCGCTTGTCGCTCGACAGGCTGGACAGACCGTTCCGAGCTAGCCGCCCCTCGTTTTTGATACCCGCTGAGTTTCTAAACATTGGGTGCAATTTTTTTTTCCTTCTTAGTTTTTTTTTTTTTTTTTTTTTCTCGCTTAGCGTGGGAATTGCGCGTTTCTCCGTCGCCGGTTCCCGGAAATCTTCGTCTTTTTGGAGTTTATGCCCACGAACCTATCAATGGTTCGTTGATGTCTCAGGGGCTTTATCAGGTGCTCTGCATGATCGGAGAAAAGCAGCATGCCGCAATGAGCGAACGGGCGGACGAAAACGAAACTGAACACATTTCGAAGGGCTTCGGATTCACGTTAATAGACGCTACAGAATATCTCGAACCTCTCACAGTCGTAGTCCCCTTAAAAAGAAAAAGAAAAGAAAGAAAAAACAGAAGTGGTCTATTTACGGATTTCGCCTTGTTACGGATTTCGACGTAAAAAGTGTTTAAAAAGAAAGTTTGAGAGATGAAAATAACCACTACCAAAATTATCCAGGTCTATCCGAAGGGTAAATTAAGCTCCCATTTGCCGCTTCTTGCCGGTTGGAGCTTATAATTCTGGTCCTAATCATCATAATAAGTTAATTATCATTCAGGCCTGAACTATAAAAATCATAAACATGGACAGTCACACTACGGTGACTCAGTTTTTTACGTGATGGATGGATAGATGGAAACGGTAGTAGCCCTTGAAAATCACAATCAAAATGATGATTCCTCCCTTCGCCTTTCTAAACCAATCTCCCGATTATCACCCCTTCTCTTCTGCCCTGCATTGTTTTTTTTTTTTTTTGTTTTTTTTGGCAACGCGCGAATTTTTTGTGCCTGAAAATAAACATTCGTCGTTGCTAACTGAAAGAGTGTGGTTGTCCGTGAGCGTCCTCCTTGTTTTTATTCTTAGTATATTTTAAGTATTCATATTTACAACACGCTCGCTATAAACAATGCTGATTATTATCTTCTGCTTAGTTTCTGAGCGCCTCTCATGTTTTTTTTATTTTTTTTTTTTATTTTTTTTTTTTATTTTACAAACTTGAGTTTAAAAACCGCGTGCACACGCATCTCCCTAAATCCTCGGAGGGGGCCGAATGGGTGCCAGAGCAAAGCTCGCCCAGAGACTGAAATTGTCAATAAAGCTGCGATTGATATTAGGATCAGTGAGTCAATCTGTACCACTCGATCATTCGTTAGCCATAAAACGCCGTTAATTTTGTTTTGCTTTATTTTGCTTAATTCACTTACTTGACAGGCTTAAATTTCAAACTGTCGGTGTTGTCGGTTTTGATGGAATCACGAATACCTTCAAATCTTCCAAGGTGTTTTTGTGTTTTCCTTTTTTTTTTGTTGGTTTGTAAGAACAATTCCAATATTAATAAGGCTGGTAACAATGTGCATTTGACGTGTATGTTTCATTCTTCATCTGGTGAGTCGATCGAAGTGAGCCCACCTGCATTCGCACTCGTTCAGCGCGCTCCTGGAATGCGCGCTTCTTACAAAGCACTGTATCACTGCCGCAAAGCGGCAGAGCAAGGGTCGCCGAGGCCTTTTGCGACTTATACCAATCTGGCGCTGGTACGAAGCGGTACGTATTCACTTCCTTCCCAGATCGTGTCCAGGCCAGGTAATGCGGTCCTGGAGGGCGTACCGCAAGTACCGCGTTCTTAGTTACACCGAGAACAAGACTGCCAACAACATCGTCTTGGAGGACATCGTGTGCACGGGTGGTCTTCATGTTACCGTGAACGAACTCCAGCTGGTGAGTTGTGGTTGTATGTTCACCGCATGCATTAATTTTTATAAAAAGTAACTGGGAACGCGATGCTCAAATATGCGTTTCTCAAGTATTGACGCGAAACTTTCTTCGCTTATCCGCAACTGTCATCTTCGACCAGACTGCAGGCCGGGCTTTTGTCAGCGCACAGCTAGCAGCCGTAATCAGCGACAGCCTAAAAAACACAAGCTGATGCTAACCATGATATTTCCGTTACTTTTTACATCCTCTCAAAACGAGGGATCAGCAACCACACTACACTGCTCTAAAACAAACAAAAGCAAATTCCCTGCCAAACTCAGTCAGCGAACTAGCGAACGCGTTGCGAGGAGCTGACCCGCGCGATTAACTTCAATGCAAACCTCCAGATGATTATAGCTAGTGCCACTAAATAAGCTACGCTTCAGAGTTACGACACTTGTCCATATCGTGGCTTAAAATCATGGTTGCCAGTTACCTGAAGCTTTATCTCAAATCACAGGAGACGCTTTTCCGCCCTCCACAAATATTTAAAGAGTTCGCGACAAAGCAAATCAATATTACATGAACTTCCTAACACCGAATCTAATGCTGAGGAAGTCGCACTTTTGAATCATGACGATCGGCAGTTGCGTCTGCTCTGCAGAAGCACCAAAATGGCGGCGCCCACAACCATGTCGCGAAACAGAGTGCCGATACTCTAAGCGCAGCTCATTTAGTGCCTCTAATTACAGCTTTTGATCATCCAAAGTTAGCACAGGTCTCACGAGAGAAATTTCATTTGTTTAAAAACGAGAAATTCCGGTGTGACACACATTGTAGCAGAAGCGTGGGGATAAACGTGGTCTTCAAGAGATCGGATCTGCAAACCTTCTTTCATTCAATTGCATAATATGGCGCATCTTGAATGGATCAAATGGAATATACCCATTTCACGAATGCGCCCCCTGACGGTGGGATTTTCGCCAGTTCCAGTTTGCACAGCATTATGAAGTGGCAAATTGGCAGGTTTCGGTCAGCTTCCTCCACGATGAGGTGTAGCCCTATCGCGATGTTGCATCGGAACGTCGTGTCATCATCTCATGATGTTTCGCCACACGTAGTTTTCTGCCTCGTCATGAGCGACGCCGCCGTCAGTTTCTGCAGTGCTCAACTTGCTGTGTTGTAGGCATCAGACGTTACCTCCTCGTCCGCGGTGAATGTTCATAATTTCTCTACTTCTGACTTTTATGACATCACTCTAATGTACATAAGCATCGCGGTTCCTTGTTTCATTGGAGTCCAGCTAGAACCGTCCTGCTTTCTCGTGCCCCGATTCTGTATGTGGAGTTCCTGGTCTCGCGCACCTAGCTCGTTCTGGCCATCAATCGTGGCCAGCCGACACTACAAATCGGCGAGCGTGAAATTCCGGGCAACTGCAGCGTTGTGGCGTGTGCTGTCTGCTATGGTGACCTAAACATGGCGGCCTGTCCTAGTTCCTCTGCGCGGCACTAGGGGCGCCGTTTTACGCATGGGGTCAGAGCCGTTTATACTGAGAGAGTTTGGCCTTCTTAAGGAGATTTTGACAGCCTGGCAACCACAGTAGCATAGTCTGACAACCTGGGGATGACTACTTCCGTCCGCCATTTTGGGGCTCTGACTCATAGGAACTCTATGCGATTTCTCAGGAAGAAAAAAGCAAAAAGAAGTGACGCCATTTTGTGTTATCGCAAATCCCACTGGTTCTGGCAGGCAACAAACTCCGCCCTATTGGTCAAACTCTCAGTATAAACGGCTCTGCATGGAATCGATTGTGGGATGTTACTTCGTTTAGCCACGAGCGGCTAAATAACTTCTTTTTTTTTAACCATTTGTGGATTTTTTGTGATATTTCAACAATGTTTTCTAATTCCTTAAACGAAAAAACGACAATAAAATATTAAGAATAGTTCCTATTTCCATTAAACCAAGTTTGAAAATTATTGCGGCGTCTGTGTTTGGGTTTGGAGATTGAAAAATGCACCACTAGAAATGGAGTGTCACAGGAGCAGATACATCTTCTTCAACCTTTAATGATCGACTGCGCTGTCGTGGGAGACCAGTTCCTCTCAGGGAGGTGTCTGTGCCAGTTAGCCCACTGCAATCGATAGGGGAAGAAAAGCAAGGCGAGCTTACCCACTCCCTGTGTATTTTGAACATCCACCGTCTATCGTCAGTTCAGTCTTCAATATCGATCCTTCCTTCAATCTTTGCGTGTTTCATTAACGTGGGGATTTCTCTCTTTCTTTCTCCCTCATTCCTCCCTCCCAAGATTCGCATAGTTCACCAAGGACCCAAGCTCTTTCGCCACCAATCTGAAGCCACTACAGCCGAGCTCTTCTTGGGCGACATTCACACGGACCACCGTAAGAAGCTCTCCTATCGGCCCACCTCGTACCAGAGCTCCCTTCTCGATGCCAACGTGAGTATGCCAGAGTTTTAAAATTTATATAAAAGCGCTTTGGCCGGAAACACTTTTTTTTCACTTTGAGGTGGTGCACGGAATCCGCGTAAGATTATTCTACTAGGAGAGAAGTATTTGCTCGCTCGTTCTTCTTTCTTCTTCGCTGCGGATATTTGCGAATGACGTCGGAGAACATATATGACGCTGCCGCCCGACCGAGATTGGAACTTTCCCCCTATTCAGTGGGATGATGGAAAGGCATTTTGCACGTGGCTCAAAAGAGTCGCTATCAGATGACCGCTGGCGGGGTAAATCTCATTGTTGAGCTCTCATTGTGTCGGTTATCTCTTCTCCGACACTGCGACTCCGCCACACTTACTCCAACCTCACACAGGCAGCGTGCATATGCACTCAAGCAGTCGCGTTTCAGTCGGTATAGTCTGGAGCTGCCGTTTGCTCCCAAGTTTCTCTTCGAGGACTCGCTTTTATTTCGACGCAGTGGAAGCGGGCATTATTTGATCCGGGTTCTCATTTATGTGATCCGATACGACTGCCTTTGTCATCTATCTCATCGATTCCCGACCAGGGGTTCGGAATAAAAGCACACGATGTGCAAGGTGCATTAATCCGGGATGTGGTCTTGTCCGTTTCGAGTCGAATAAGTTTTGGTCATTCCTAGTCTTCGCAGTAGGAAAGAGGGTTCGAATAATGTGGCCCACTCTTCCGCTGGGGTCGGGGAATGGAGGGGGACAATAATGATGCGCCGCTGTTCGATTAGAACTTAATCGAATCAAGTTTGACGGCGTCCCTAGTTGTAATCAATCGAATGGTAAATGACCTTAGTACGGGCTCGAGGGTGAGGTAGCTTTTGTTTACTCGACGGCGTCGTCTTTTTGGGTCGGGAGCGCCGTAAGCCGGCCCAGCGGGTACGCCTGAGCCCCTCCGTCTTCGGCCAAGTAATGAGACGGCCGCCGATGCTATTGGAGCGGTCTGACAAACAGCGGGCAGGCGGCAGGCGCCTGGCGGGCGAAGCAGTGAGACAGAACGGAGCGCGATACCTGCAGGCTTGTGGCCACTGGGGCCACTCTAATCCGACGTGACAAATGCCTCTCAGTGGGGGGATAATCCGCACCCTAAGCCGCGGGACTCGGGCTCCAACCGGGGGGATCCACCCGGCGTCGCGCCTTTACTTGGCACGAGATGACGACGCTGGCGTCGGCGTCGTCAGAATACGACGTCTGAGGAATTGGTCGTGTCCGCTTCACTTTCCATCCGCTCACAGACTGCAAAGACGAACATCGAGATTGACCTTCGGCCCCTTCCGATCGATGACTCCTCGAGTCCGGCTGCAGCAGGCTTTCTGGCTGGGTTTCACTCAACACACGACCTTGCCTCGTTGTGCTGTGTCGCTCGTGCGTATACGAGTTGACACGCCGCATCTAAGGGGTTAATGATTTGATGGTCAGCCTGTACATAATAGATTGAAAGCCCAACGCGTTTTAGATTAAATTATGTGCATCACTAGGCGACTGTGCCCTTCGCGTTCAAAAAGGCTGTACTTGCTTTCCTAGGCAAAGCACTTTTCCCAAGGTCTCTAACAAAGTTTTTCTTTGTTTTGTTTTCATACCTGAAGGAAACGGGCATAATATAGGGACCATAAATAAAAAAGAAGAAAAAAAAAAGTAATGTAAAAATTAGTAAATCGCCTAACAACCCAATCCGGGCAAAGCAGTCTACGGAAGGAGTCGCAGGACAAATTTCTGCAACGATACTCCGATGGTGGCGAGCTTCAGAGCCAAAAGAAGAGTGCTGAAAACTTTGCCCCAAGCCACTAAACAAATTGCGTTTTATTTATTTTTTTTTATAAATTGAAATTTGCGATTAGACTATTGGAATCTTTTTTATTTGTTTGGCGGTTTTTTTTTTTGTTTTTGTTTTTTTGCCCAGGGGGCAGAGATAAAGGCGTGAAGCCTGACAGAGTCTCTGCCCCCCAACAGTTCAACAGTCAACAGTGCAATGAATATATTCAGCAATTGGCATCCTCAGTAAAAATAAAAAGAAGGTACATTGAGACAGCTACTTTAACATTCAGCAGTGTGAATTGTAAAATAAAACGGTACAATAAAACAACTAGCAAAATCACATGTTACACAACAAGCATGATTTGAAGCGTAGAACAAATGTAACGTCGTATGACACAGACGCATCATATTACTAATATAAACAGAAAATAAAAAGTTTTACAAAAAAAAAAAAAAAGAGAGAGAAGAAGGCCACAGCATAAAAGAGGACTGATGGCCGCCATTTAGTTTAGCAATGAAAAATGGCCGAATATATGTCAAGAGCCACATTTCTAGTCAAATATAAGTACTTACATAATACAAATAATAACTTAGCCTACATATTACACAACTGAGAAGCTAATACCACTGCCCACGTGAAAGCTTCGGCACTGTTTCTTGAAGGCATAGAATGTTTTATTATATTATACAGTCATGTCTGTTCTGTTTAGCATCTTGGTTATCTGATATGACAAAGTAGTGCGGCCATAATTGGTTCTTATTGAAGGCATTTTTCGCCTTGGGTGGTAAGGACCTAGACTCGCTTTTGGTGTGAAGTATATTCTGTGTTTGCGAATCCATTGTAAGAGCTTAAACTAGTATACTTGGTCTGCCTGAAGCATATTATATTTTACGAATAGTGGTTGGGCGCTAATGTTTCTAATATCTCATATATAATTTTCGCACATGCGAAGAATCCCCTTCTGCAAGGTGATAAGTTTGACATAGTTCGAATTGATCGTCGTCTCCCAAACTAAGATGCCGTAACTGATTTTAGAGTAGAACAAAGAATAGCACAATGTCTGTTTAGGCAAGGGGGTAGCAAGTTTCGTATTTTATACATACCTCCCGTAACATGAGATAATTCACCTTTGAGTTTATTGACGTGAGTGTTCCATGAAAAGTCCTAAGTAAACTACACACCAAGAAATTTTTGTTAAGCTTAAGGGGCTGCAGTCGATTTTATTTATTGGCTTAAAAATAATATTCTTAGTTTTGCTTGTATTTAGTTTTAAACAATTTGTTTGTAACCAATTGGGTTGCTTCAATAGGTAGACATTTGCAGCATTTTCTAGGCATTTCTTCGTCACTCCAGAAAAGAATACGCTGGTATCGTCTGCATATATTATTAGATCGGGGGAACCGGATGTAGTCGTTATATTAGGGACTTTTAGAATCGCGCACGCTAAAGCTTTGCGTACGCAAAGAATAGCGTCGTCGCCACTGCGCATGCGCCGAACGCTAACTACGTTTTGCGCTTTGCGTACGCTATTTCTCGAAAATTGCGTGCGTACGCAAAGAGTCTTTGCTCTCCTCCAAGGTGGATTCGTACTTTGAAGTTGGATAATGCCAAGCCAAGACGAGCAGAGTTAAAAAATGGCCGCTACCAGACCCTGGCTGCGGCCGCTTTTGCGGCGTCGTGAACGTGACGTCGGCGGCATCCTCGCGACTGCAATTTCAATACGGGACGACATTGCACGGTGGGCAACGATCACTGGCAACTTGATGCTTGCGACGCCCGAACATTTCTGGGCGAAGGCACGGGTGCGAATGTCAGTACACGAGACCTCCCCTGCCGAGGCGTACGCAGGCAGGGGAGGTCTCGCGTCGCATTCTCACGTTTAAACAAATCTAAAACGTTACGTAGGACCAAAAAAAAAAAACTTTTTTTGTCAAGTTACAGCATTTCATGAGTGAAATAAAAATTATGACTATCTTGGGTGGCGTTGCAAGCGCGAAATGCTTGAACTTTTGCGTAGCGGCGGAGAAACGCTATTCTCTCTTCCGTAGCGTGCGCTAACGCAAGCGCTAAATCTAGCGCTAGCGTGCGCTAAAATTGCGTACGTTATTCTAAAACTCCCTAATAGAGAGTTTTAGAATAACGTACGCAATTTTAGCGCACGCTAGCGCTAAATTTAGCGCTTGTATTAGCGCACGCGACGCAAGAGAATCATTCGCCATGACCACAGCAAAAAATAACGTGTCAAACCCTTCCCTCCTGCTGACAAAAACTGAGGTTGAATTTTTAAAATCTGAGATAACCCTACCACCCTGACTTGCACTTCGCGTGTTTTATCTTTCCTTCTCTCCACTTCTCTCCCCTACTCCTACTGGGTATAGTCGGCTGCTCGCTGTTGAAAGTTTACTCGTCTGTTGCTAGTTGAAAGATGTGGTTGTGTTGTCCCTGTTTTAATTGTTTATTCTTTCTTCATCCATGAGATTTTTAGAATAGCGTTTTTCCGTCGCGACGCAAAAGCCCAACCAGCTCACGCTTGCGACGCCCCCAAGATAGTCACAATTTTTATTTCACACACGAAATGCTGTAACTTTAGAAAAAAAAAAGTTTTTTTTTTTTTTCTAACTATATTTTAGATTTGTTTAAACATGAGAATGCGACGCGAGCGGTCGACCGGTCGTGTCCGCTTGCGTCGCCTCGGCAAGAGAGGTCTCGTGTACTGAAATTCGCACATCGTACCTTCGCCGAGAAATGTTCGCGCGTCGCAAGGATCAAGTTGCCGGTGATCGTTGCCAAACCGAGAACAATGTCGTCCCGTATTGAAAGTCGCGAAGACGCCGCCGATGTCGCACTCACGACGCCGCCAAAGCAGCCGCCGAAATGATCCTAGAAGCCGCCATTTTTTTAACTCTGCTCGTCTTGGCTTTAGCCAACTTCTCATCACGAATCCTCGTTGGAGAAGCGCAGACTCTTTGCGTACGCACGCTATTTCCGAGAAATAGCGCAGGCTAAAATTGCGCACGCAAAGCGTAAAACCTGGTTTGCGTTCGGAGCATGCGCAGTGGCGACGACGCTATTCTTCGCGAACGCAAAGCTTTAGCGTGCGCTATTCTAAAACTCCCCATTATTAACATACATAAGAAAAAGAAGTGGACCTAAAATTGACCCCTGAGGAACACCATGCTGAATTTTACGTATCACTACACGAAACAAACTGACTA